TGTCCTGTCTAGGGCCAGTCTACAAATAAACCCGTCAGAGACATTCTTCATTTCTGATACAGTGTTTCAGCTCTCTAACATTTCCTTTGGGTTCTTTCTTAGAATTTTTGTCTCTCTGCCTTTATTACTCACATATTCTTGAGTATTATCTACTTGATGCTTTAGAAGCCTTGGCATATTAGTCATAGCTGTTATAAATTCCTAGTCTGATAAGTATAATATCCCTACTGTATTTCAGTCTGGTTTTGATACTTGCTCTGCCTCTCCAAGCTGTTTTTGCCTTTTAGTGTGTCTTGTAATTTTTTCTTGATAGCCAGGCATGTTGACCTGGGCAAAAAGGAATTGCTGTTTATAAGTATTTACCAAGTGATGATAAAGTATGTTAGAAGGGGATGTTCTCTTGTCCTCTGATAAGGCCTCAGTCTTTCAGTGAGACTGTACTTCTGGACTGAGAACTTCCCATGTGCACCGCCCCCCCCCAATTCCATCCTGTTGGTGGACAGGAGAGCTGCTGTAAGCTGGAACTGGGTTTTTTCTTTCTTCCAATGTGGGAAGCTAGAGAGGGCTGGAGTTGGGTATTTCCCTTCCCCAGTTCAGGCTGTGGTTTAAATCGTTTCTCTTGACATCAGACATCAGACTTTGTTAAGAACGGAATTCACTGACATATTTCTTTTTTTTTTTGAGTTGGAGTCTCGCTCTGTGGCCCAGAGAGCCACCGCAGCCTCGACCTGCTGGGCTCCGGCGATCCTTCTGCCTCAGCCTTCCAAGTAGCCGGAATTTCAGGCATGTGCTACCACGCCTGGCTGATTTTTTGATTTATTATAGAGATGAGGTCTTGCTGCCCAGGCAGGTCTCGAACCCGTGGGCTCAGGCAATCCACTCACCTCAGCCTCCCAAAGGCGTGGAATTACAGGCTGAGGCACCGAGCCCGGCTCACTGACATATTTCAGAACAGTTTCTTTTCCCCCTCCCGCTGCTGAAAGTACACGGGGGTTTTCTCCACTATTCACTGTGAGGACCTGGTAAAGCTCCTGGAGGTAAAAGTCACAAAAGTGTGTGTTTTTCCCCTCTGTGACTACATGTCCTCGGAATGTCTAACTCTCAAGAGTTGTCTATGCTGAACCACTGGCAGTTTGTTGATTATGGCTTAGGTTTTTCTGCCCTGACATTGTTTCCCTCAGTATTAGTTACTGCTGGGTTTTCTGTTAAGGTAAGTAGTGATTCTCTGTACTCACCTGTTGGTCTCTTGAATTTTAGGAGTAGCAGTTTGCTGTGACTTTACTTCTCTTATGGATCTATGAAGAGTTACTGATTTTTCAGTTTGTTTAACTTTTTACTTGTTGTTGGACCTCTGATAGGGTTTTAGTTGCCACCAGCAAGCATTTCTTATTTTCTTATTTCTTTTTTCACTTTTCCTTCCCTAACATTTTAGTATGAAAAATTTCACCCAGAATGTTGAAAGAATCATGCTGTCAATACTCATATGCTGTCAATACTCATATGCTGTCAATACTCATATACCCATTACCAAGATCTACAGATGATTTTGGCTTTTTCTGTATTTGCCTTATCATGGCTCTTATCTATCACTCTCTCCATTCATCATTCTTTCTTTCTTTTTTTTTTAAATGTATTTTAAAGTAAGTTGAAGCCATTAGGATACTCTACTCTCAGATACTTCATGTGTATTAACTACATGTCTTTTTTTTGGGTAGAGTTCGCATGTAATGAGATGTTCAGATCTTGAATGTACCACCAGATGAGTTTTGACAGATGCATACAGCTGTGTAACTTACATCTTTCCAGATACAGAACATCACCTTCACCTTGACAAGTTCCTTCATGCCCAGTTAGTCCTCTGTCAGTGTTGTGATTTTTTTCACCCTAGATGAGTTTTGGTGATATTGGTCACCTTAAGTCTAATAGGTACCTGTTTATCTCCACCTCCACTGCTCTGGAAGCCCCATTTCTCAGACCCCAGATATAGGGTGTACTTGATAAACACTTGCTGGACAGCCCTTGGCTAGAAGTTTTTCCTATGGCTTTTGTTACAGAGATCCCAGACTCGGTACAATATAATGTGGAAAGAGTGCTTCAGCGAAGATGAGCACTTTCAGTTATAGTCTGAAAGTTATGTTTGTCCCCCGGGAATCTTCATTTTTATGGTGAGTAAATGTGAGACTTTCAGATGATTACAAGGAGACCGTGTTTTTTATCATATGAGGAGGAACTTCCAAAAAATTGGAATTTTGTTTAAGGGGATGGGCCCCTGTAGTTCAGCCTTCCCCCTGCTAGGTAAGTGTTTTTAGGAACCCGTCAGCATCAGTGCATCAGCTAGCGCTGTTTTGAGAGGCTGCATTCAGCTTCAGTGAAGTGTTTTTTTTTTTGGAGATTCTTTCAGCACTTTTGCCCATTTCATGATGGGCAGATTATGAGCATACACCTACCCACATCATGCTGAATGTTCAGCGGCTTTTGACCAAAACAGCATGACCTCCATGATCCACCTTCCCTATTCACTCAATCTCCCCCTGAGTGACTTTTCTTTTGGTTTCCCTGGATGAGAAAAGTCCTCAAAGGGAAATGTTCTGCCCATGTGGAAGAGATGAAACAAAAAAATGACAGAAGCACTAGGAGGCATCAAAATGAACAAGTTCAAAAACTGTTTTGAGCCGTGGAAAAAGCATCTCAATAGATGTATTACACGAAATGGAGAGGACTTTGAAGGTGGCTGAAATTTAAATATGGAAGAATGACTACCCAATTTTTAATAAATAAATTGCAGGATTTTTTGCCCCCACCATAAGAACCACCCAAATTATAAGGCTCTTGGACAGTTTGATTCTGAGTTTTGACCTTTTATTTCCTCAGACACATTATTTTCAGTTTTCTTTGCACTCTTAGTAATTTGTCCATATTTTAAATTCTTTTTATTTTATAAAATCAGTGGTACTTTCTGTTATTTGTTAAGAAGACCTTATTAGGAAGCACCATGGGATTGTTGCCTCTCTTAAACAGAGCCAGGTGAAAAATTGGGAGTCCTGTAGGAGAGAAGTGGAGAAACTTTTGGGCTCTTTCCCTCCTTCCCTTCTCTTTCACTTAGTATCTTCATGTAGGCTCGCGTCTCTGTAACTCCAGATAGATAGGTGGGATTACAGTTGAAAGGCTATTCATGAGTACAAGGATGGTGGTACAAGAGCTTACATTTGGCAAGTCTTATAGTAGACAGTAATAGATCATTTTTGTCCATTAAAAATTCTCTATTTTGATTGGTGATATAACTTTAGTATTCACAGCAATTTGTTAAGTATACATCAAGTGAACTACTCCTGTCATATAGAGTGACCATGTATTTTAAAAAGCCATGAAATAATTGGAGAACTTTCAGAAAACAAAGGGCAAAATGCTGTGTTGCAAGAGACTGTCCCACCTTGTTGGTCCTGTTCATTTTTGGATGTGCCTGGATAATGGTGAAATGCAGTGTTGTTCACACAGGTGCATGTTTGGCAACTGCTGGAAGCATCCCCCCACCTATAGCCGCCTAGCCTTCTTCACATGTAATGATGCTTTGTTTAAATCATGAATGCTAGAAGACGGAACGTGAGAAGTTGAATGTCTGTGTACAAAAAAGTGCTACCCAGAGACATTGCTTGCTCATTCAGGCAGCTGCCTAGAGGACTTGAATCTTCCCAAGACTACAGCCTAGCGTCAGGGTCATAAAGTTGTAGAATTATAGGAGATTGCTCTTGCTAGGCCATGTCTGCAGAGTTACTGCCCTCCAGACTGAACTTTTTGAGGACAGGGCTTATTTATACAGGTGGTGCCAAACAAATGTATACACGTTTTAAGTATGATGTTTGCTCAAAAGATGGCATTAATCAAAGGAATGCTAGCATCACCATGAGGCAGGTGGGACAGTCAAAATGGCGCAGCACAGTTGAATGAATGTCATGCTACACGTTGCGACTGTGATTTCATTCAACTTTGGAAGTAATACTAGAGAATATAGCTTTAAATGTATATACATTTTTTTGGCACCCCCCCCCCATGTTTTTTATCTCCTGTAATGGCTGACACATAGTAGGTACTTCATCTGTTTGTGAATATCTCACACGATGAAGCCAGATAAAAATGTTGTTTAGATGGAGTCCGGCACTAAGCCATGATGCTATGTGATGCATTCTGTAGCAGCCGTATGGACGGAGTGTCGTGGCAGCAGAGGGGAGGGGAGTGAAGAATTCTGCCTGTGGTATCACGGAGCACTCTGTTTTGCTACATCATGGAGAGGCTCTTTCCCTGGACCACAGTTGGAGAACTTGTTTTGAAGAGACATTTGTCTCCATCTAAGAGACGATGACGTATTCTCCAACAGCGGTGTTCTCCTCCTTTTCCCTACTTTTGTCATTTTGGATGCACTATAAGGAGATGAATGATTCAAGTTCTGAAGGAGAAGAATGGTTTCCTTAAACCAAATAGAACCAAAGTTTTCTTTTCTGTAGTTGTTATTTCTATAATGAGAGGAAAGTGGGCTTTTGGGTCAGGCATAGATAGATCTGGAGCTTATCTTTTGGGATCCCAGTTTAACAAACTATTTACCTCAAAAAAGCATCCTGGTCTTAACAGGTCTCAATATATCTATCCATAAAAATACACAGTGTCTGCTCTAGAATAGTGGTGCTGTGAGGATGAAATGAGCTACCTCTTGAGGACATGGCAGCATTACGCCTGGCATATACTGTGAACTCAGGAAATAGAATTTCCTTTTTATTCAGAGGAGAAGGTTGCAGAGGGATCAAGATTGAGTGCCTTTCTGGCATGGTGACGCTGTTACTCTGGGAGACTCCAGTGTGTCTTCAGGTTTCTGTTTGTTCAGCAGATGCTCTGTATCCAGTGTCTGCAAGGCCTTGTGATAGGTAGAGATTTGCAGTCTTGCTGGGAAGGGGAAGCACCAAATAGTTCAGTGATAGCAGTAGGCAGTAGAGACTCTGAGAATAAGCATGATGGGGTTCCAAGAAGGTCGGAGGAGCTGCAGTGATGAGGCTTCCTCTGTGGTGGTGACCTGGCTGCAAACTGAACAACTTTCAAGGCAGAATGAAAGAGGAGAAGAGTGTTCAGGCTTGACGAAGACCAGAAAACGCAAAGGCTCCGCATCTTTGGAGGGAGTGTTTTTGGGTACTGTAATTGACAGTAGGTCAAGTGTGCAGAAGAGAAACACATCACAGCAGGTGGGGACTGGCCGTGCTGATGCAGCGACAGCTAGAGGAAGACACCCAGATGTGTGTGGCCTGTTTTCCTGGGTCATGGGTAGCAGACCACTGATTCTCTATATGCGTGGAACTCCTGAGGTTCAGCCAGAGTGAGCTGCTCCCTACTACTCGTGCCTCTAAGGCATTAGTTAGATAACAGCACCCCAGTTCTCTGAGATTTCTCCCCTCAGTAAAATGCAGTTGTGTTCAAAGCCCCCCAGAATCTGTGCCTGCCAACTCTCTTCCTGAATCTTAACGGGAAGTCTCGATCTCTTTTCACTTGTCTTCTCATCCACTCGGCTCCAACCGACTGACTTCCTTCAGTTTCCAGGAGCTGCACGTCCAGCAGGCTGCTACTTCATAGTCTTTCTGCTTCTCTTCTTTCTCCTGTAAGCCTCTTCCTTCAGACGTCCTCATCCAGGGGCTGTTTCCTCTGCTGCCTCTGGTTTTTATTCAAGTGCGATCATAGCATGTCCTTCTCTGCCATCTGACTTAGAGGTGCTTCCCTCTCGTATACCAAGCACTGTGTCTGCTGTGTCTGCTCTGAAGCGTGTAGAACCATCTGGCATACTATGTGTTTTTGAAATTTATTTGTTCACTGTCTCTTCTGACCCTCTAGAACATAGTTCCGTGGAGATAGGATACTTTTTGTCTTGTTCAGTGGTGTCTTTCCCATGCCTAGCACAAAATACTCAGTGAATGTTTGTTCCAATGAATGAACACACTTTATCTTTCTTCCGAGCTGTCAAAGGACAACTTTGGCCACCACAGATTCTTCTCCCCTTCCTGCCACTGGATAGCTGGAACAACCTTTCTGAGAGCGTCAGTTTATCCAGCTGACGCAAGCGTATACACATTGAAGTAGATCCACCTACACGTGTGTTCCGTTTTTTCATTTTTATCTAAGAATTCATAACAGTTGATAAATGTGATTTCAGCCTAAGAGGATGGAAGAATTTTACATTTGATGAAAGGGTCAGTAAAAATCATAACAACTTTGGAATGGGTGAGCAAGAGAGAGAGAGGATTGGAGAAGAAGTGTTATGTGTCTTAGATGTAAGTATTACGAGGTAGGACTGTGTTCCTTGAAGCACTTTTGAGGGACCTAACTATACATTTTAGGAATTTGATTTTTTTCAGTCTTCATGATATTTTCAAAGGAAGAGAAGTTAAAGTATTAAGGACATTTTAAAAGAAAAGTTAGAAATAATCTGAACTAAAATATTAAAGGAGAAATGGCCAAACTAGGAGAATTTGAGAAAAAAAAATCAATGAGAAGCAGTTAGGGTTGTTAACCCTACAATTCCACGGAAGCCAATTTTGTAACAGGTCAAAAATGGCTTCAAGAGGGCATGTGAGAATACATTTGGAAGTAGCATCTTAGTGTCATCAGTGCTCTAGAATAAGGGTGAGAACTATTCTTTACTCTCACATCCCTCCCTAGAAAAGTGAATAAGGAAGTGACACATTTTTGCTGTAGGTTGCTTTTGAAATAAGGTTTCTTCTCTACAGTTGCCTAATTGGGAGGAGGTGTTGATACATTTTTGCTAGGGATAACAATGTGTATTGTTGCCATTAAAGACTAGGTAACTTGGATGAGATATAAGCTATTGGTGTGCATTTAGAAATACTGGAATGATTTGGGTAAAGAAAATTTAGATATATAAAGTTACTTTCAGAACTTTGAGGACTTTTAGTTGTTTAGAGTTGCTGTTTTTGGATGGAATTTTCTTAAGCTATATCTCATCTACATTTTACTCTTGCTGTTCATAGGTCTGTTTGTTCATTTAACAGGAGGTGATTATCATAGGCATTTGGGGAACATATTTTTAATAGAAGGTTTGTAGGGCGGAAATACCTCTTGGCTTTGGGGTAGGTCATACTCTCAAGTATTTTTGCCTAGTAGACAAGAGGCAGAAATCCAGAAGGACACCAAGGGCAGAGCAGTGTTTTCAACAGAACTGTTTTTCTGCTCCTTCATTTTGTTATCCTGCCCCTTTCCCTTCCCAGTAGCTCAGAACACACCCTCCTCCAGCTTCCTGCAGAGTTTTAACACTTTTGCTTCAATGTTAACACAAAAGTAAAATAAAGAAGAGGACCTAGGTAGCACAACCAGCTCTTTCCAAGTGCCGACTGCATGTTCAGGACAACGCCTGGCTCTGGGCTCCAGGCGTGAGGTCTCCGTTGGGAGAAACCCTCCGCAGAGTGGTCTGTGGCAAAGCATTTGTCGTTTACGCTTTTGCTTTTATGGTGCTACTTGAAGAGCTGATTTTCCATTTGATAGCCTGGCTAAGTAAAAAAGCAGTGTTAGCGTTGCTTTTCTTCATAGAAATTAAAACCTGTTGTTTTAAAAGAAACCAAATGCTTTTATATTTTGAAGAATGCTACTTCTTACAAAGAACAAATTAAATACTTTTTAAAAAGTATTATTTGGCCAATTCATTGTCATTTGTGTGGCCAAGTGACAAGGCATTTTTGGGTAGTTTATTGAGCTAAATACAGCATTATGTCAAACTGTTCAAGTCCTACATTAAAAATTAGTGTTATTTAAAAGAGTGTCTTTTTACCCCATGTATTCTGAGTCTTAACGTTTTATTTACCCTTGAAACTGTATCATTTCTTCTCCCTATTCCTGCTTTGAGTTCTTTTGATTTTCTTTAAAAAGTTTTTCTTTCCCAACATTAAAACTTTTTTACTTTATAGAGAAATGTTGTCTAAAAATCCATTAGCAAACTCCCTTATGATGATAACAGGATACATTTTTTCCTTGCTTTTTTAATTGTACCTTGTTAAACTGGTCTCACATGAACTTTCTTAGAATCAGGCAGTTCCTGGTTCCTATGGGACTTCCTGTTTTCTCAAATAAAAATAGAAAAGCATCTCAGAAAGGAAACCTGGTCAGTGTGAACTACTTTGTAAGATCACTTAGTTTTAGTTGTTACCTGGATTATACAGATATATAGTCTGTATAAAACATAAAAGTTATTAGGTGTCCGAAAGGTTTGAGTAATTTTACATATAATATTAAAATCAAAGAGATTATAAGAAGTTGCTGAATAATAACTCCAAGAGATACTACATATTCAGCCACAAACGTGTCTGTATCTTTTTTGTGTGTGCTGTGTGTAGGGGGGAGAAGGGTAGCAGGGATGTTGGATGTAAAGTGGCAAATCCTGTCCTTATAATGTAATTTTTTGCGGGGTAATCTAGAGTTTTTTCATTCTGAACTTAATTCTTAGCTACTTTGATCTCTAATTTTTTCTTATTTTTTTCATGTTAGCAAGGATTAGGATGGTGAGGCTTTTAAAAAACTTTAAGCAATTAGAAGTCAGAATTCTAAATGAATTATTTCGTTTTAAAGCACCTTGTAGATTTCCTGTGTCAAGTGTTTTACTCAGTTTATCTCGTTTAATCCTGATAAAAATTATATAAGGTAGGCATCATTGTTATCCCTCTTTCAAAGAGGAAGAAACTACAGTGTAGAGTAGTAGCTAAGTGGATGCTAGCTAGTTCAAGGAGATGTTGCTGGTAAGTGGTGGCGCTGGGACTTGAACTCAGCTTCTCTGATACCGGAGACATAACCTCGGTAATCTCTAAGAAAGCCACAAATTCAGTGACAATGGTAAGTATAGGAAGGCTGAAAAATTACTTCCCAGCCTTTATTAATCATCAGTTTGTTTACGTTTTGTTTGCATATTTACATTCAGTTTTAACAGAGTACATGCTGGCACTTTAGAGGACTTGCTTAGGGGATTTTAATTCTTACTCTTAAATGATGCTAATAGTTCTTTTTTTCTTTCCTTGATAGTAGAAAATCCCTTTGGTGAAACGTTTGGAAAAATACAAGTAAGTAAAAGACCATAATACTGATATTATTCCTGTCATATTTTATATGATAAAAGTGTTAGGATGACTATGAACCAAAAAAGATGGTGATTTTAAGGTTCTTTTAGTTTAAAACAATGCGTTTTCTCATTCTGAGTATTCCTTAACGACAGCGTAATTGAATTTGTCACAAATTTTCTCCTAAGAGCTGAACTGTTTATCACTCTGATGTGAGACAGCTGCCAAGCAAAGTGGATGAGGCCTGTCAACTGTGGGTCCGGTATGCCTGTTGCCTTCAGTTGTTGGAGACCTTGGCAGTTTCTATCCTCTGCCTTCACCTTGTCTCTCTTTGCATCTTTTGTGCATTGACACGCCTATCCAACCATCAGGCAGGATTTGGAAAGGAAGTGTATTTTGTAGGCTGCCAAAATTGATTTGTTCACTTAAAAGCATATATCATAAAAATTTGCTTAAGTCATAATTTAGTTGGTCATTTGGATGGCACTTGAGACCCTTGTAGTGGTTAGATGGCCATTTTGAAGAGTTTCATTGGAAGAATACTTTTTGAAAAAAATTACAGTTGAGGTTTTTTTGGTTCTTAAATTCTTTGTATGAGAACATAACAGCATGTATCTTATCCAGTATAAGATCCAGTTCTATCTGGCTAGGTTTTGTTATTTATTTTACTTATCTAGTCCAGTGTTAATATTTTTGAATCAAAATTGAAGTTTATTCCAAGGTCTCTTAGGTTTATTAAAGATGTAATCACATAGCCGGGCTCGGTGGCTCAGCCTGTAACCCCGCGCCTTTGGGAGGCTGAGGTGAGTGGATTGCCTGAGCCCGCAGGTTCCAGACCCGCCTCGGCAGCGAGACCTCATCTCTACAATAAGTCAAAAAAATTAGCCGGGTGTGGTAGCGCATGCCTGTAATCCTGGCTATTTGGAAGGCGGAGGCGGAAGAATCGCCGGAGCCCAGCATGCCAGGCTATGGTGGCCGGGAGCGGCCACTGCACTCCAGTCTGGGCAACAGAGTGAGATTCCAACTCAAAAAAAAAAAGATATAATTTCAGAGAACAGATGCCAAGTGTTTAAATTTTGTTTTGCTTTTGAAAGGGGAGTGGGCAAAGAGCATTATCAGGACATATAAAACAAAGAGGAAATCAGAATCTTTTCCAGATAAGAGAAGAAACAAGTTTCAGACCTTCAGCTACTTTAATCCTGAAGCTTAACTAGCTTCACCTTGGTTTTGTGTGTCCAGTTTATAAGCTATACTATCATTGGAATTCCTGCTTATCCTGTTATGTTGAACATATTTATTAAAACTGATTTTGTGGTTTAATGTATCACAAACACTTAGATTTCAAACCCTGTGTTTCAGTTCCTACTCTTGTTTTTTGATGTCTAATTTTTACAGTTTGAATTTTAATCTTATGTAATCTTATATAAAGATAGGACTTTTGCTTTTTTTGGTTGTTGAGCCAAAATAACAACCAAAAAAAGCAAAAGTGTTGGAGGCAAGTAAGTCAACTGAAGGAATAAGTAACTTATTTCGACCATCTGACATAAAACCAGGGACTCCCGTGGTAGGGTCTTAGAGACTTTAATGAGTTTCCTTCTTTTTAGTGTCACTGATTAAAGCTGCGGTGACAAAAGCATGCCACCCATGGTGTACAAAGTTGTTATCTTCCGCCCCTGAACATACAGCATGAAAATAAAGAGATAAGGTTGCATGTCATCAGACATGTAAACGTTGCTTTCTCAGCCTTTTGTTTCCTGCCTGAATTTGCCTCGTGGTCATATTTATTCAATGATTCTGTTTTGTTAGGCACTCCAGGAAGAAAGGAACTAATGAAGACACAGCCCCCTGATGAATCATGAAATTATTTCAGATTTTTTTTTTTTTTGAGTTGGAGTCTCACTCTGACCCAGACTGGAGTGCAGTGGCCGCTCCTGGCCACCACAGCCTCGACCTGCTGGGCTCCAGTGATCCTTCCACTCAACCTTCCAAGTAGCTGTAACTACAGGTGTATGCTACCATGCCCGGCTAATTTTTGGTTTATTGTAGAGGTGAGGTCTCGCCAAGTTGCCCAGGCGGGTCTCGAACCCGCGGGCTCAGGCAATCCACTCACCTCAGCCTCCCAAAGCGCGGGATTACAGGCTGAACCACGGAGCCCGGCTTATTTCAGATATTGTAACTAGTGATTTGCCCCCTCTCTGGGCTCCGCCTCATTTACATTGTTCCCTCTTTCTGAGATTGCTCTTAAACTGGGTGTCTCATTGCTTTAGACTATTTGGCAGGGTACTTAGACAATCCCACTGCAGTGATTTCCTCTTTAGATTCTTTTCACACAGTTATTTCTGCTTGCTGGCCATCTTGTATCTTCTGTTCAGAATGTATTCCTGATGCACAAGTCTATTTTACTTTGTTTCTGAATTTCCAGAATGAAGCTGAACTCTTTGTCTTGGTATCTAGGGCTCTCTGGTAGTTAATTCCAAACTTCTTTCCTTGTAGCTTGCTGAGTCAAACTAGGCCTTGTTATGTAAGAATGGAACCAGTGCCTTCATGCTTTTGTTGGGGTTCTTCCCTCTGCCTGGATTGCTGGAGTCTTTGTTCCTTTAAAATCCAACTAAAGCATTCTCTATTCCACAAATGGGTCTTTCCTTCCCTCCCTCTTCTGTACTTGCAGTTATACTCTGCAACTCTAATGTAACACTTAATACGATTTTTACCCTTGAGAACAGGAACTTTCTTGTTCAGTGGGTCTCTCACTTTGCTGAGAGAACAGTTCCTAACTCCTAATAGTAGATTGAATGTTTCTCACAGTTCCTAACTCTATTCATTGAATGTTTGTTTCACCCTAATGGTTCCTACATTTATCCAGGGCCACCTTGGAAGTCTAGGAAAAGACTGAGAATTAACCAGAGTACCAGCACCCATTCCCTTGTTTAGGTGGTTGAGTTAGGTTTAAACAAAACACGAGGGGCAGCCTGGATGATCAAGGAAACAGTCTCGAAAGAACAATAGATGCAGCATGCATTGTATAGGGGGCCATTGGGAGCATTGCTGTGTTGGCTGGGGGAGTTTATCATGTATGGCATCTTTTTAGCACGAACCTCAGTGCCAATTATGTGATCATTCTCAAGAAAGTAAAATGCTTAGTGGTAGTTTAGATTCTTAAGTCAAGGTTTCTTAAAACATGGTGAGCTGTTATTTAAATTATTGCTTTGTCTTTCAAATTATGTAGTGTCAATGATTTTAATTTACTGTTTCTCTTTTTAAATAAGAATAATTTGGCACTTTTTTGGAGTTGGGTATTTCATAATAACTTCTATTAATTTTAGGAAAACGAAAAAAATCTCATGATGAGCACATTATACAAGCTCCATGATCGGCTGGCACAGCTTGCAGGTAATTGTTTAATATTCATAGTCTCTCAAAATATTTTGAAAAATTAATTGCATATGTAGCATGTTGTATCAGTAGAAATAGATTTCCTAAGTCCAGTGTTATATTTGTGGAATCTTTTTCTTCAGAAAAAGATACATTTAACCAAGACCTTTTCCTGCCTGCCATCTGGATTAGATGTAATATATATGTATACTTTATTATATAATATAATTATAAAGTCAGTCAGATGTCTTTAGCAGTAATAAAAAATTCTGAAAGATTCGGTATCAGATGAATCAGGTAAGCAATGAATCAACTGAAATCCTGGGTTGAATATGAAAATACAGATTTTTCTTTTGATGGTGGTGTTGGTGTCATTCCTTTGGTTAAAGTACATTTATTATCCTGGAATTTTCTTTCCTCATGAGTTACATTATCCTCAAATTCTGCTCTTGGTAAGCCTTTGCGAGCTCTCAGGTATTTAGCATATCTGCAATTAGACTAACTTATTATAGATGAATTTGTATGGAGTTTAGCATGTATAAACTGCAGTAGCAGCTTATCTATTTATTACCTTTTAGTAATTTTTATTTTACATATAATCTGAAAGAAGAGATGTTGAATTCTCTTCTTATAGACAATTATAAGGAAAAAAAATCTAGTTTTTCGAACTTTTCTATGTAGCAGATCTTTTTGTGAAAACCAGGTCTTGGTAGAAGCCGAACAGGTAAAGGTAAACGTGGAACTTCTCTGGGTGGATGGAAGTAGTTGAGATTTTGACAGCTCCCCATTCTCTTACCTTTTTTTTGTTTTTAATTTTTAATTCTGGTCAGTTTTTTAGGCTCATGATTCCATGTGTATCATTAAAAGCCTTCTTTGCATTGACTATCATATTCACATACTGCAAGCTAATGACATTTATTTGATACGCTGCAGTACCCAAAAATAGGTTAAGTGCGAGAGGAACCCAACAAAACCCGGAACCATCTTTTGGAGGGCAGGCCCCTTGTAGTACAGGCTTCCCTCGCTAGGTGTGTGTTCTAGGAACCCATCGGCATCTGTGTACCAGCTAGCATTGTTGTGGGAGACTGTGTGAGGCTTCAGTGAATTTTTTTTTAGATTGTTTCATTGCCTTTGCCCATTTCTTGATAGGTGATGTATCAGCACACCTCCCCACACTGCGCTGAATGTTCAGCAGTTTTTGACCAAAAGCAACATGACCCCTGTGCACCATCCTCCCTGTTCACCCAATCTCTCTCTGAGTGATTTTTTGCTTATTTGTTTCCTGGGATGAAAAAAATCCTCAGAGAAATGTTTTGCTGATGTGGAAGAGGTGAAACAAAAAATGGCAGAAGCGCTAAAAGGCATCAAAATTGACAGATTCAAAACTGTTTGAGGCAGTGGAAAAAGCATCTCCATAGGTGTATTGTATCAAATGGAGAGTACTTTGAGGGTGACTGAAATTTAAACATGTAAAAATAAATACACAATTTTTTATAAATTAATTCTGGGTTTTTTGCCCCTCCCCCCCATGTATACTGAAGCTGGGGGTTCCTAATGTTGCTAGCACAGGCAGCCACAGCTGTCTCTGTAGGATTGCTTGATGAGTGTGGGCATGGCCCGCCAGATCAGCATACTCTAGTGTGCTTTTAAAGATACAGATTTCTTCCTCAAGAGCAGGGGCTAGCAAGTTTTTTTCTGTGAAGGGCCAGATAGTGACTGTTTCAGGTGTTCCAAGTTAGTCTGTCTCTGTGACAGCAAGTAAGCTCTGCTGTTATACCATGAAACAGCCATTAATACTAAACAAGTGAGCTTGACTGTATTCTAAGAAAACTTCATTTATACGAACCAGGAGCAGACCAGGTCTGACCCCGTGGGCTATAGTTTGCTAACTTCTGCTCTGAATCTGTAGAATCTGAGTCTCTGACGATACCCCATAAAGGTTCAAGACTTGTTCATGTAATGGATATTTCTTTCCTTTTGATGACCACTGCCATTAAAATCTGACTACTTTGAACATTGTTACATTTGTTATAGGAAAAGTTGCCAAGGATTTTACTTTAGTTATTGTTTTTCCATGTTAAATTTTTAAAAATTACTTGAAAGAAACAGCATAGGGAAAATCTGACAACTGGAGCTCAATAGGAGATAATTTATCACTAATAACTACAAATAGCCTAAAGAAAAAGCTTTGAATTATTGTTTTATAAATGGTTAAAAGAAGAATGTAGTTTTCCAGAGATTTATATGTAGCACATCCCTGTGTAGAAGCCAAATCATAGGTAGAAACTTCTACCTGTCTTGCCTGCTGATCTGTTATAGCCGTTTGTAAGGCATACACATCCTTGCCAAAGACAGACTTGGCTATACTCTGAAAGTGCACATATTTTGACTCAGCAGTATATGCAAACTTACTTGAACCCTTAAATCTAGCTTGAGGAATACTGTGTAAGTTAGGGCAGCACAGTAGACCTGCTGGATTTTCCCCTTTGGGAATAATATATCTGTGGAGGGCCTCCTGTGTGCCAAGGCCTGTGGTGGCATCAGAGTGACAAGTTCCCACACCAGCTTGTAAGTTAGTTGGGAATGTGAGAGGAAGCTGTGCTCCTGTCGGGGCTGAAATGCATGTATAGGTTGTGGCTCGTGTAGGGGTGGCTGTGTATATTAGTTACTGAAAATATAAATAATATTAATCTTTCTTTACTGATTATGATACTGTAACCTATGATTGTGCAATATATAAAACATTTTGAACTGATCATGTTTGCTTTCTTCTGTTTAACATAGTATGGATTCAAAATTAACAATCTGCTCATCTTTTCAGGAGATCATGAATGTGGCAGTTCTAGTCAAAGAACACTTTCTGTCCAAGAGGCAGCTGCATATTTAAAAGTAAGCGATGGAATTAGAATTTTAATAGCCATATTCTTAAAATTTATGTAAGTCTCTACTTATATCAATGGTATCATGCATTTGATTCCTTAAATTGTACTGTTAAAAAGCTTTGGTCTACTGTTTGGTATAGTGTAAGCAGAAAAGAAAAAGTGAAATTGCTCAATATTTTTCATTTTAGTTTTAGAACACTTTCTATAAAAGAATTCACAGTAATTTGGAAAGGGCACAAAAAACACTGGTGAGAAGGAAATTGAGGTAGGTGCGTAGCATGTAAGAAACCAAGAAAGCATTTAGCCATGTATTTCAAATCTTCTGCCCCAGGTCAGTTTCATCTCAGGGCACTAAGAGAACGTGCTGTTGAATTTTCTGAACTGCTGTAGTGAATTTTTGGAAAATCCTAGATGAAAGGAAGGGTACTAGAAGATTAAAGGTGAACATGGTTGTTCTGATTTCTAAGAAGGGGAAAGTGGAATTGGAAAGCTTGATGTCAGTCCATTTCCATAGAGATGATTTCATAAAGGTGTGAGTTCTGGCACATGGAAATAAATGGTGTTCCATCTCTAGCAGCTGCCAGCATGAGTTTAATAGGAACAAGTCTTGTCATACAAGCTTCATGCTCCCCTCCTCCTCACCTTTTAAAAGATGGCAGTAAAAGGCACATAACATGAAATCTCTTCTATTAACACGTCTGTAAGTATCCAGGACAGTGCCGTTAACTATGTGCACATTGCTTTACAGCATATCTTTAGGACTTTTTCACCTTGTATGAGTGAAGCTCTGTACCCATAGCACAGTGGGCCACCATTTTCTCTGTCCCTGACACCTGGCAACCAGTATTTACTTTCTGCCTCCCTCAGTTTGAGTAGTAAATTCCTCATATGGGTGAAATCATGCAGTGTTTGTCCCTTTGTGGACTGGCTTATTTTATTTCACTTGGCATAATGTCTTCAAGTTTTGTCCATGTTGTAGCATGACAGTATTTCCTTTTCTTAAGGCTACTATTTCATTGTATGTATGTACCTGTTCTTTATCTAGTCACCTGTTGGAGGGCTTTTAGGCTGTTGCACCTCTTGGTTATTGTGAATAATGCTTCAGTGAACATGGGAATACAGATACCTCTTTGAGCACCTACTTTCAGTTCTCTTGGGCAAATACCCAGAAGTGGGATTGCTGGACGATAAGGGAGCTCAGTTCTTGTATCTTTTGAAGAACTTCCATGCTGTTTTTCACAGCAACTGTACCATTTTACATTCCCTCCAGCAGGGTACAAGGGTTCCAGTTTTTCCACATCCTCAACACATATTTTCTGGGTTTTTTGCTTGTTTAGTTAGTAGCTAACCTGACAGGTGTGAAGTGCTTGTCTCATTGTGGTTTCAATGTGCATTTCCCTGGCGTTGAGCACCTTTGCACATGCCATGTGTACACATGCCGTTTATTGGCCATTTGTATGTCTCCTTTGGAGAGACGCTATTCAGTTCCTTTGTCAGTTTTTTAATTGGGTTGTTTATGCTGTCATTGAGTTGTGGGAGCTTCTTATGTATTCCGTATACTAACCTCCTACAGATACATGGTTTGCCATTCTATAGGTCTTTTTTTCACTTTATCGTTTACTGCAGTTACGCTTTTTCGTTTGATGGATTCCCACTTGTCCATGTTTGCTTTTGTTACCTTTGCTTTTGGTGTATAGCTAAAAAATTATTGCCTACATCGATGTCATGAAGCTTTTCTTCTATGTTTTCTTTAGGGGGTTTTATAGTGTCAGGTCTTATGTCTTTAATCATAAATTCAGTGTGCCTAGCACCATTTTTTGAGGAGACTGTCCTTTCTCCATTGTGTAGTCTGGGTGCCTTTGTCAGAGATTGTTTGCTTGTATATGAGTGACTTTATTTCTGGGCTAGTGTTTTTTTTGGAATTTTTGTGTCTGTATTCATCAGGGATTTTAGTCTGTTATTTTATGCTAGTATTCTTGTCTGTCTTGGGTATCAGAGTAATTCTGGTCTCATAGGATGAGTTTGGAAGTGTTCCCTTCGTTTCATTTTTGGGGAACAATTTGAGTAGGATTGGCCTTAATTCTTCTTTACTGAAATAATAAACTCAGAAATGAATTCTGATTTTTTTTCCTTCATCTAGCTAAGCGTTTGTCAATTTTGGTCTTTTTGAAAAATCAGTTCTAGGCTGAGCGCATTGGCTCATGCCTGCAGTCCCAGCACTTTGGAAGGCCAGGGCAGGTGTATTGCTTGAGCCCAGCAGTTTGAAACTTTGTCTCTGCAAAAAAAAAAAAAAAAAAGTCAGTAAGGCTTGATGGCACACGCCTATAGTCCCAGCGACTCAGGATGCTGAGGCGGAAGGATGGCCTGAGTCCAGGAGGTCGAAGCTGCTGTGGGCCGTGATCGTGCCACTGCACTCCAGCCTGGGTGACAGAGTGAGACCTCTACTCAAAAAAAAAAAAAAAACAAAAAAAACTCAGCTCTTAGTTTTGTTTTTTTAATTTATTTTTCTGTCTTCTGGTTTTTTGGGTGTTTTTTTTTTTTCCTTTTTTTTCTTTCTCACATCATCATTTCCTTTCTTAGGCTAACTTTGCGTTAGTTTTTTTTTTTTCTAGTTCTTTAAGGTATAAAATTAGGTTGTTCATCTAAGATCTTTTTAAATGCAGGCTTTTATCACTACATGCTTGCCTCTTGGCATTGTTCTTACTGCTTTCCATAAATGTTTTATGTTGTATTTTTTATTGTGTATGTCTTAGGAAATTTTCTAAGTTCTCTTTTGATTTCTTCTTTGACCCATTTGGTTGTTGGGGATTGTACTGTTTAAGTTACATATATTTGTGACTTTCTCAGCTTTTTTTTCCTACTCTTGATTTCTAGTTTCTTCCCATTGTAGTTTGAAAAGATACGTTGAGGCCAGGCACGGAGGCGCAGCCTGTCATCCCAGCAATTGGGGAGGCCGAGGCGAGTGGATTGCCTGAGCTCGCAGGTTTGAGACCAGCCCGGGCAACTAGGTGAGACTTCGTCTCTACAATAAATCAAAAATTAGCTGGGTGTGGTAGCGCACACCTGTGCTTCCGGCTACTTGGAAGGCGGAGGCGCAAGGATCGCCAGAGCCCAGTAGGTCAAGGCTGTGGTGCCCATGAATGTGCCACTGCACTCCGGCCTGGGCGATGGAGTGAGACTCCAACTAAAAAAAAAAAAGAAGAGATACGTTGTGTGATTTCAGTCTCTTTACTATGTTAACATTTGTTTTGTGGCCTAACATACTTGGAGAATGCTACGTGTGTGCTTGATAGCAATGCGTATTCTACTCCTGTGGGTTGGAATGTTCTGCATGTTTCTGTTAGGACCATTTGATCGGTAGTTGTTCAAGACCTCTGTTTCCTTGTTCATCTTTGTCTGGGTGTTCTACCCATTGTTGAAAGAGGTGTGTTAAGGTTTTGCTGCCTATGTTTGGGTTCTCTGATGTGGGTTGCATATGTGTTTGTAAGTGTTAATACTTCCTAGGTGAATTAATTCTTTTATTGTTATATGTCCTTCCTTGTTTTATGTGAGTTTTTGATTTAAAGTTTATCTTGTCTAATGTAAGTCTGGCTACCCCTGCTCTTTAAGTTATTTGCTTGGAATACCTTTTTCCATTCTTCCACTTTCAGCCTATGTGTCTTGTTAAATGTGAAGTGAGTTTCTTGTACATAGAATAAAATTGGATCATTTTTTAAATCCATTCAGCCAGTCAGTGTTTTTTTTATTTGGGGGGTTTAACCATTTACATTTAAAATAATTACTGATTGGAAAGGACTATGACAGTTTTGTTAATTGTTTTCTCTGTGTATTGTAGCTGTTTCCTTTCTTGCTGTCTGTTTTGTGTGTGTGAGTGTGTGTGTATCGTGACAAGCTGTGATTCCTTTCTCTTTTTCTTTTGTGTGTCTTCCTTGTTTATTTTCTTTGTGATTACTGTGGGGACTTAAACAAAATCATCTTATAGTCACAATAATATTTTAACCTGATATCACTTTAACTTTCATAGCATACAAAATCTCTACTCTTTTACATCTTCCCCACCTTTTATGTTAGTGATGTCATAGATTACATCTTTTTTTTTTTTAAGAGACAAGGTCTCACTCTGTTGTCCAGGCTGGGGTGCAGTGGTGTGATCATAGCTTACTACAGCCTCAACTTTCTGAACTCGAGCAATCCTCCTTCCTCACTCCCAAGTAGTTGGGACTACAGGTACATGCCACCACACCCAGCTAATTTGTTTGATATTTTTTTGAAGAGCATCTCACTATGTTGCCCAGGCTGATCTTGAACTCCTGGCCTCAAGCATTCCTCCTGCCTTGGTCTCCTAAAGTTTGGGGATTACAGACGTGAGCCACTGTGCCTGGCTGATTACATCTTTTTATATTGTGCATTCATTATAATATTTTTGTGGTTACATTTATTTTTGTACTTTTGTCTTTTAAATTATAAACCACAGTTAAAAGTGATTTACACACCACCATTCCAATGTTGCAGTATTCTGCATTTTGTTTATCTGGTAACCTTTACCACTTGTGAATATATTATTCCATTCCCCTTATATTTTCATCTGCCTTTGTGTGGCTGTGTAACTTCCTTTCATTTAACTTGAAGGACTTCTTGTAGCATTTCTAGTGAGGCAATTCTAGTGGTGAGGAACTCCTTCAGCTTTTATCTGAAAAAGTCTTTACTTTTTCTTCAGTTTTGAAAGATAGTTTTTCTAAATACACAGTAGTTTTCCCTTATCTGGGGTTTTGCTTTCCACAGTTCAGTAACACTCAGCCAACCATGGTCTGAAAATATTAAATGGAAAAATCTAGAAATAAACACAGTTTTAAATTGCATACCATATTGAGTATTGTGAAGAAATGTCACACTGTCTTGCTTGGTACATGAATTGTCCCTTTTTCCAGTGTGTCCACATTGTGTGCATTATCTGCCTGTTAGTCACAGTTATCACATCAAAAAAACAGGGCTCAGTACTACCCATGG